CATAAGCTTCAACATTTAACTCATTTATCTTCCTCATACGTGCATCAAAATCAGGCTGTGTATATGACCTTGCAGCCTCCCACAACTCAATTTTCAAGTGCTGTCCTTTAAATCTGAGTCTGAAGTTCTCATACAAATGCCTCACACAATATCTATGGACTGAACCCTCCATGATATGCTCAAAAGTTTCAACCAATTCCTATATTAAAAACAAATTGTACTAAAATAACAGATTTAAAAATAACAAATTGTAGTAAAATAACAGATTTTAAAATAATAAATTTTAAATTAACACACTGTAGTAAAATACTGACCTTTTGTCTATCAGATATGAATGTGATGTCAGTATAAGGCCCACAGCCTCCATCAATTATGTCAGAAACCAACTCTAAGAATCCCTTATCTCAGCCTCAACTACTGCAATTGCAACTGGGAACATTTGTTCATTCCCATCAACAGATATTACACTCAATAGGTGGCCACCATATGAACCCTTCAAAAAGCAACCATCAACACCAATAAGTTGCCTACTACCTTTTTTAAAACCCTTCCTCATTGCAGCATAACAGATGAAAACCCTTTGAAATCTCCTCACATTCTCTTCACATGTGGGCTCAGTTTGAATTTTAACAACACTTCCAGGGTTGGATGTATATATTAAATGACAGTATTCCCTCATCTTTTGATATTGTTCTACTTTATTTCCCTGAATGACTTCAATAGCTTTTCTCTTTGCCCTTCTTACTTTGTGTTTAGACACATCAATGTGCATATCAGAAGCAATAGTGGTCCTTAGTGTATCACAAGGTATGGTTGGGTTCATTTTCACTTGCTCTAAGTACTTAGTGGCTAAGTAAGAAGAGGATGCTTGTCCATTAGTTTGAAACCAAAGGCAGTTGGTATGTTTTGACTGATATGTCTTCACTATCAAGCAATCCTAACCTACTAGTTTGCTTGCAAATACTTTCCACCCACATTCAGCCTTACATACTACATAGATCCTGTCACCATCATTTCTTTTAAACTTTATATCAAACCTACCCTTCAATGCTGTTTCTCTAAGTGCCAATCTAAAGTGTTCAGCTGTCCCAAATTTCATTCCTAATTCTAGTTCTTTTACATCCAAATCCCTTGAAGGAATATATTCTAGGTATTTAGGACCACTAACATCCTCATCTGATCCACATAAACTGATTAACTCATCGCTAGGAGTATAATCTGAAATCTATTTAAAAGTACCATCACTTGAACTATTTGAGTCTGAGCTAGCTGTTGGAAGCTGAATCTCTTCCCCTTGCACATTCAACAGAGGTGCAATAATGTACAACTTGATGATGGTTGTTGCCCTCTCTGCTTCATAGTCATAAAACATCCTAAGTACATCCAAGTCACACCTAACCTTTCTCAAGCTTTGACTACCCTCTAAAAATGGTACTTTGTAAAACACTTGCTCTAACTCCCTATATCCCATGTTATCTGCCATCTCTTGAATATCATCATATGACATAATGTCTGGGTCAACTATTGGAATCATAGTGAAATATTCTCCTATGTATGACATAGGGGGTGTTTTAGAGAACACACCCCAATGATGGAGTTCAATGCTGTAAAAGTGCATCTACATAACATAAACTCGCATACCTTAATCACACTTGACTTGACAGTAAACAAATAAAAAGGTTAACCAAATACTTTAATCACACATTAAACTAAACAACAAAAAAAGTTGTTGACATTTCAAAAATGTTAATAATAAGGACAAAAAGTCCAAAAGCACTTAAATAAGAGTAAAAAAAAAATAAAAAATCTAACTCCAGCAAGACCACTTCAGCACTAACATTCTCAAGTCAAGTGTGATTAAAGCACAAAAAAAAATGGGCCACTCAATGACAGAACAGAACATATAAGACACAAATAGTGAAAGCATATATAGTGTTTCATGCAATAAAGAACAACAAGTTTATAACTTTATACATAGGACACATATCACAAGTCATTTTCTGTCAGTCCACAACAAAACAGAACTTTAAATTTTTTAAAAAAAATTGTCAAAAATTGTCAGAAAGATTCTTTATATAATAAATCATGTACTATAAACCTTAAATTGGTACAATGTTCAACGTTGAGCAAAATGTTTCTACCAAAAATTTTAGAGCCATGCACCATTATCACGTCCCATTCACAGATTAAAAAATAACAAAATAAAACAAAAATAACAAGAATCCTAAACCCGAACATTCTTCAACAAAAAATAGTACAACACTTGAGAAAAGAAAAATAAAATCAAATTATAATAATAAACCCTAACATTTTTGAGACAGAAAATTGTACTAAACCCTAACATTTTTTAGACAGAAAATCGTACCCAATAACACTATAACAGCTGGGATTAGTAAATCACAACTACTTTTCGTGGATTAACACAATATTTAGCAATTAATAATCATATATTTACCGATTCAATAACAAAAATCAAGTACGCTTACGGTTTTTGGCTTCTTCTCAATCGTGATCCTTAGCTTCAGAAGCTTTGTGGTCTCTAAAAGCCAAAGTACTTGTAGTCGGCACAAAGGGAGGAGAATGAGATATAGCTGAGGTGGTTCAAATCCTTAAGCCTAGGGTTGTTGATAAAGTGTTTGCTGAGGTGTCAAGTTGTTATTGGCTCTCCAGATTACAATCTGCCATGTCATCGGGTTCAATTTAGGCCTAATAAAGTTTAATAAAACTACATCATTTTTTATAAGGGCATTAATGTCATTTAACATTTTCGGTAAGAGAGTTTGCCCAGAAAAGTTATTGTTGTTCTTAATTGCAACAATTTGATAGTTCAAGGGGGTTTTCTGTAGTTCAGGGGGGTTATTTGCAAATGGCTCATACTTCAGGAGGGTTTTTTGCACTTTACCCTAAAATATATTTAGAACAATTATTTTTATACATAATTATCATAATATAGCCGGTCCGGCCCAGTTATGATTTTGTCCTTATCAAGAGATGACACATGTCATCATCCTATTAATCTAAGAAGCTTATAAATAGAGGCATGGAGGATAAAGGAAAAGGAAAAGGGTCCAGAAATTGAGAAATTTAGAAATCCAGAGAGTCCAAAAATTGAGAGACTCAGAAATCCAGAGAGACAGAAATTAAGAAATCCAGAATTCCAGAGAGAAATACAAAAGCTCTGCCAACATTCATCCCCAACACCCAAACCTGAAGGCGAAGAGCAATAATCACATCAAATCGTGCCGTTCTTCATTAAAATTCCACAGTGATCAACAACAAGCACATCAAATCGTGTCGTTATTCATCAAAATTCAATAGTGATCAACAACAAGGACATCAAAGTTGTGCCGTTCTTTTACAAATTTAACATATTCTCTAAAGATGAAGAATAATAAGCAAATCCAATCCAAAGTCGTGCCGTTCTTCCTCAAATATAACAAAGAACAACAAACACATCAAAATTGCATCGTTCTTTCCTTGCTATTTAACAAGTTTGAATAATCACCAGACAATATTGTTCGAGATCAAGCTTCTTCAACCTTCGATCAGAAATCATCGGCGGTCTTCCTCAAATACAAATACTTGAAGAAGATTGTCAATAACCCGATTTAAGATCAAGCTCCAACAGCCCTCGATTAGAAATCATCGGTAGTCTTCCTCAACTACAAATACTTAAAGAAGATTGTCAACAGCCCGATTCAAGATCAAGCTCCAACAGTCTTTGGATCCAACCAGCAAAGGAAATCGAATCAGATGATACTTTATTTTTTTTGTAAAGAATATCTTAGAGGATTGTACTAATCAATTTTTATAAATTAATAAAATTTTATTTGCTCCTTATTTTGTTCTTTATTTACAGATTACGAAATTTGTGTTCAAACCGCTACGTAGGATGAGTTCACCAACTTTGAAATTAGTGTTAACTTTCCCACGTTGCAGCATTTAATTTCTTAGTCCAGCAGTGTGATCAACACAGCGTTTTGGTATTTTAACCCAAAAAAAAAAAAAAAAAAAAAAAAAAACACAGCGTTTTGGTAAGAGCGTTCACACATGGATTAATATAAAATAAAAAAGATGTAATACAAACAATTTGGACCCCTCATTCGTAAAACTACGTTTACTTTTGCAACCATACTATATATTATAGTAATTAATTTCTGAGATGTTTCATCATTGATTGGAGCACAATTAAACTGGTTGTTCTTTAAGCTTATGCAAGTCATGTGAGGCATTTTTCAAACACGATAATTTGCGTGATCCAAAAACTAGACAGCACATGGTTATCCTATCCCAAATAAATGGCAACTCCTTAGACATTTGGTTTTGATTAATAATACAATAAATAACATGAACTTCTAAATCTGAAGAGGCAGTTGCTTTTAATCCACTTGACAAATCAAAATACTCAACAAATTATAAATACTCAACAAGTTTTCATCTGTACGGATTCACTCAACTAATGAATTCCTTTATATCTATAATAATGTTGCTTAATTGCGATAAGTACGCCGTAGCCGCCATTAATACAGCATTTTTTTTACTCAAATTCATTTTAGTAATTAAATGCATTGTTTGGTTTTTTTTTTTTCATAGATATAATCACCGACCGAGAAGCATATTGTAACATGTTAGACTCTTGACAATATGCATCTCAACTTTAAATCATGCATAATCTCTCTCTCCTCAACTTTATGTACACAAATATAACTATATATATGTGTGTGTGTATATATACACACGCGCACATTGCTCTTCACGTAACAGCTGATATCATCATTTTAAACACAAAGTAAACACAATGGTTGAATATCAACAGCTTGATATCTTTGCATAGAATGCTAACTGTTACCATATTCCTCACATTTCAAGCAAGACAGCTGTACGTCAAGTTCATTTTCTTATATATAAATATAAGGGATCGAAACCCTATTAAGAGATCTGATTCTACTAATACCTCATATAAAAGAAGAACAAAAAGAAAAGAGATCCAAGACACATTAATGGCGACCAAGCTTTTTGGAGTATTATTCTTGATAATATCATTCTCTTCCTTCTTCTCTCAAGTCCTATCAGACGATGATCAATCGGAATCCGGCGACATCAGTCGGTGGTGTAGCACCACACCTCATCCGGAGCCATGCAAGTACTTCATGAACCACAGCCACCACAATTTTGAAATACCCAAGTGCCGAGCCGACTTCAGAACGATGGCGGTACAAGTGGCCATGGACAGAGCCTATCATGCACAGAGCCTTGCAAAGCAGTTGGGACCGCATTGCCGGAGCAAGCGAAAGAAGGCCGCGTGGAGAGACTGCTGTGACCTCTTCGACGATGCCATTCTCTCTCTCAACCGAACCCTACAAGGCCTAAGAAACAATGGGAGCCGCTCGGATTTTGATGCTCAAACTTGGCTCAGCGCTGCCCTCACGAGCCTTGAGACTTGTCGAGCAGGCTCACATGAGCTCAATGTATCGAGCTTCATCTCGCCGATCATTTCCAATAATGTCTCCGAATTGATCAGCAATAGTTTGGCCATTAATGGGGTTTTGATGCAGGATCAAAGTTACAAAGAGGGGTTTCCTAGTTGGGTTTCCAAGGGTGATCGGAAGCTTTTGCAATCTAAATCACTGTCTTCTAGGGCTAATGTTGTTGTGGCTAAGGATGGGTCAGGGAATTTTGGGACCATTCAGGCCGCGATTAATGCCGCTGCGAAGAAGACAGGGAATGGGAGGTTTATTATACATTTGAAAAGAGGGGTTTATACCGAGAATATTTTGATTGGGAGGAACTTGAATAATATTATCTTCGTTGGTGATGGATTGAGATATACCATAATCACTGGCAGCCGGAGTTCTACAGGGGGATTCACCACCTACAGCACTGCAACTTTTGGTAAGGGAGCTCTCTCTCCATCTCTCTCTCTCTCAAAAAAAAAAAAAATTAAATAAATAAATAAAAAAGAGAAGAAGAAGAAAAATGGTTCGTGGTGATAAAAAAATGTGTTAATTTTTTATTATTATTTCTAATATTAATATTTGGTTTATAATAGCACAAGACCTTCTATATTTTCGAATATTTGGAAACATGCATGAATCAATATTAAGACAAAAATATTGATGTAATTAGCTAGAAAACATTTATGAAAGACATTTTTTCTTTTTTGAAAAAAAAATAATATATATATATAACTATATTTCAATTAATTCTTTTAATATTTGGTATACATCAAGGATGCTCTCTCTTTATTATTATTATTATTTTTTTTTCTTAGGATAAATATTTCTAGGATATCTAGCTTCTTGTCTCTATTTATTATACATTGTTGTTGAACCACAACTGGGGCAATTGACTGTCTAAAAAATTTCGAACTATTGAAATGCGCGCTTTAGTTCAACAAGTAAATCTTATTTATGGCAACCATCTTACTATATCAAGGTCAATGACTTAATATGTCGATCTAATCATGAATTATATATGTGTGTATTTTATATTTAAATATTGAATTGATTTGCGCTATGAATATCTTCTAGATACATATTATATATCAAGTCAATAACTTGAAAATTAACTTGCTTTCTTCTAATATGACCATTAGGTGTTGATGGCATTGGATTCATGGCTCGTGGGATCACATTCCGAAACACAGCCGGTCCACAAAATGGTCAAGCAGTGGCTTTCCGATCAGCCTCCGATCTCTCAGTCTTCTACGCTTGTGCTTTCGATGGGTACCAAGACACTCTCTTCGTCCACGCGCAACGACAATTCTACAAATCATGCTACATATATGGCACCATAGACTTCATTTTTGGTAATGCTGCAGTAGTGTTCCAAAATTGCGTCATCTACGTGAGGAAGCCCTTATCTGGCCAAGCCAATACCATAACAGCTCAAGGTAGGGGTGACCCGTACCAAAACACCGGCATTTCCATCCACAACTCACGTGTCCTGGCTGCACCGGACCTTAGGCCGGTGGTTAGCTCGTTCAAGACCTACTTAGGCCGGCCGTGGCAGCAGTACTCGAGGACGGTCTTCCTCAAGACTTATCTTGATAGCTTGGTGAGTCCAGAAGGGTGGTCAACATGGGATGCTTCTAATTTTGCTCTGGATACATTGTATTATGGTGAGTACATGAATTTCGGACCGGCTTCTTCCACTACAAATCGAGTCAAGTGGCGCGGTTATAGGGTTATCACAAATGCGAAGGAGGCGTTGCAGTTCACTGTTGGCAGCTTCATTGCCGGCAGGTCGTGGTTGCCGAGCACTGGTGTCCCATTCATTGCTGGCCTGTGATCATCTCATGCATATAGTAGTACAATATTGTAGTTTTTATTCAATTTATTTGAAAATTGTATTGTTTTGGGCATTTCAGGACTTTATGATAGTAATTAAAAGATATATATATACGCTATTGATTTTTATGGTTTTTTTTGTATGGTTTGTGATTTAAAGAAATTAGAATTGACTGAATGAATGTGAATAATTTGATGAACAACAACAAAACTTGCTTGCAGTCCTTGGATGGAAGGATTTAAGTCTAGTAGGGTCCATGGTTGGGCCTTGTTTAGGATTTTGCTCGTCAGACCCATATGTCCAAAGCAGTGAATTGGGCCGTGCACAATGGAATGACATGTATGCTGAGCACCCATATGAGCACTTAAATCAATGACGAATTTAGAAAAGTATGTAAGAGGGGACGACTATATATATATATATTGTGGAGGGTAATAGTGAAATTTTCTATAATTTCAGTGTGCAAACTCAAAATATTGTAAATATATAATTCAAAATTTTCTCTAATTTTAGGAGGTAAAGAATATACCAAGGCCCTTGGTTAATTTGTTAGAAATATAAATAGATAAATAATAAACATAAGGATAATGTTTATTTAGAAATAAAATAAGAATAAAACAGCATATTATTATTATTAATTTAGAAGCAATAAATTTAATTATTAGAAGCCCCAAAGCTTGGCTTAGTGGCATGCTGACTTCGTGTCAAGCGGAGGGATGTGATTGTGAGTAAAGTTATTTATAAGAAAAAAATTTCTTATGGGCATTATAAAATTTGCTAACACTCCTCTATTATTCATCCGCCGCCCTTCCTTTCTTAACAGAAACCTATCATCTCTATCTCTTTGCCATTCTTAATGGTAAGCGGTAAGTTGGTGTTGGAACTCAATCACAAAAATTACAATATATCTACCATACGTAATAGTATAATCACACACACACATACATATATATATATATAATTAAAGAAATTAAACATAATTTTAAATCTAAGCTAAAAGGTGGATAATTATATCCTCAAGATAGTTGAAGCCTCTCCAATATGATTTCGGAATATTAAAATGGCAACACTCTCTTCAGAATTCAACTAAGTCAGATCCAATAATCTGTATGTCCATAGAGTGACATCCTCAATAAACCAATGTATTCATCTATGCCTAATCGTTCGTCCAAAATATTATTTTATGAAATTATATTAAACATTTATATCAATATATATATATATATAGAGAGAGAGAGGGAGAGAGACGGAAATATTACCAAATTTGGAATTCTTTGAATTCCTATAATGTTTTTACCAGAAAACTTATTGGAATTAGTCAAACCTTTCTCCAAATCTCTCTGGAAATTTGAGTTTGATCACTAGAACTTGATTAGAATCTCATTGAATTTTAGATTTGGTTGCCAGAAACTTCATCAGAGTTTCACTAGAATTTCTCTCGACTTGGTCACCCACACAATATATTTTGGATATCAATAATTAAGACTCAATTTATCTGTCAATGTGTAGGTATATAATGCTTAGGAATGGATCCTCTATAAGGAAATTTGTCTCCAAACATCTACAAGTATATTGTTAGACTCAAAACATCATTACTTTAGGCTTCCCTCTTTCGATTTCTCTCATTATCATCAGTCTTTATCTGTTACAATTGAAGATTTGGAAGATTTCACGGATTTTTTTGAGTTAAGAAAGTATTTTAAGATCTCACTGCATCAAATAACTCAAAAGGTCATTTGGATCCCCTCTATCTTCCAGAGTTTTATTCTACTGCAACATCTAGATTAGTTGAATCAGATATATATACATATTCATTGAAATCTATATTTTTATTCACAAATTATAAAAAAACAATTATACCCAAATTTACAGATTTTTACACAAACTCTTAAATTATTTCCAACTGAAATTTCCAAATATCCATTTTATGCGAAACTAATTTTAAGAGGGATAGTAATTAACAGTGTTCATTGGTCGATAAACTATACTCCTCCAACCAGGCCAATAACAATTTTGGTAGGAACTATAGATTTTGCTTTTGTACTAAGAGTTGGATGAAAAAGAATAGCAAGATACATTTTTAGTCAAATGATATCGTAATATTCATTAGTTAATTAAATTATTGATGTGACGCCTTAATAACAGTATGATATACTTAGCTTGGAGACAAATTTTCTTGAAGATGATCCACTCCCATGAGGCTCACCCTACGCATAGGCTCACCTTCTGTGATACCCCTCGATTCTAGAGCCACGGATGATCAAGTCCAAGCATAGATCTGAGGGACATCAAACAATTAATATATAATAAAGCACAGAATACAAAATGGTATTTAAGAAATAAAATAAATAAATGGCTGAAAAGAATTCTAATTGAAAAATCCTCAAAAAAATATAATTGTTAAAATCCAATAATCCAAAACCTCCATTAAGTTAGCAACTCAGGAATCCATCCTGTGGACCCCTAATAATATCCCAAACTTAAACTTAAACAACTGAAACCAAACATGGAAAGTAGTCCTACGTAGTCGGAGGAATGAGTGTCTGTATCTGCTCTACACGACCAAGCTCTAACCCTGGAACTGACAAGCACCTGAAAAATAAGAAAATGAGTCAGGCCCACATGCAAGTCCTATTCTACTACGATCCATACAGACACCCGATATGCAAATACATTCTAGATAGCTTAACAATATCTAGAGTAGTCCATATATGTATAAGTACACACTATAGGACACTCACTAGTCCAATAGGTTTATCTCAGCCTGAGTAGAGATACCATATAAATCGCACATAATGTAGTCATGTGTACCTAGACCTACTAGGGAACAACACCTCTGTCCAGTTATCCATCCTAGGCGATATACGCACCTTGACCATGGTCCTGAGACTAAAGTTCATACCATGGCACCATATCATAAATATATAAAGTTCTTGTCCTCCTAATACAAAATATCATCCATTGGTATAGTGGTTTGATATATGTATAACAATCCATCCCGAAACTGTCGATGACATTTCTTAACACGAGTTTAAACTGTCTACCTAAAAAAAAATCAAGAACTTCTTGACACGAGTACAAACTGTCTACTTAAAAAAAAAAAAAAAAAATCAAGAACTCTTTGACACGAGTTTAAACTGTCCTCCTGAAAAAAAATCAAGAACTCCTTGACACGAGTTTAAACTGTCTACCTGAAAAAATAAAAAAAAAATAAAAAAAAAAATAAAAAAAAAATAAAAAAGTTCAAGAATTCCTTGACACGAGTATAAACTGTCTACTTGAAAAAAAAAATCAAGAACTCCTTGACACGAGTTTAAACTGTCTACCTAAAAAAAAAATTCAAGAACTCTTTGACACAAGTATAAATTGTCTGAAAAAAAAAAAAATGACACTCCTTGACATGAGCTTAAACTGTCTACCTGGAAAAAAAATCAAGAACTCCCTGATACGAGTTTAAACTATCTCCCAAATATATATATATATATATATATATATATATATATATAACACTCCTTGACACGAGTTTAAACTGTCTACCTGAAAAGAAAAAAAAAAAAAAAAAAAAAAAAAAAAAAAATCATCAAAAGTGTGGATTTGCATGCATGGAAGATTTTTTGTTCCAAAGGAACAATGGGTCCTTACGGACTAGATGCGTTCCAAAGGAATAATGGGTCCTTACGGACTAATTGCGTTCCAAAGGAACAATGGATTCTTACGGACTAGTTGCGTTCTAAAGGAACAATGGGTCCTTACGGGCTATATGCGTTTCAAAGCAACAATGGGTCCTTACGGGCTAGATGCGTTCCAAAGGAACAATTGGTCCTTAAGGACTAGTTGTGTTCCAAAGGAACAATGGGTCCTTACGGACTAGTTGCGTTCGAAAGGAACAATGGGTCTTACGGACTAGATGCGTTCCAAAGGACTAATGGGTCCTTACGGACTAGTTGCGTTCCAAAGGAACAATGGGTCCTTACGGACTAGTTGTGTTCCAAAGGAACAATGGGTCTTACAGACTAGATGCGTTCCAAAGGAACAATTGGTCCTTACGGACTAGATACGTTCCAACGGAACAATGGGTTCTGACAGACTAAATGGGTTCCAACGTTACAATGGTCCGAGAGGGACTAAGAGCATGAAAAAAAAAAATCGTGAAAAAAAACTTGATTTGAAAAAAAAAAAAAAAAAAAATTAACAAAATGTGATTTCAAAAAGAGAGAGAGAGAGAGAAAGAGAGAGAGAGAGAGAAAATGAGTGAAAAAAAAGGAAAGAAAAGTGTGTGAGAAAATAAAAAAAAAAAAAAAAAAACAAGAATAAAAAATTTGCATGAAAAAAAGGGGGAAAAAAAAAAAAGAAAAAATGAGTGGGAAAAAAGTTGTGTGAAAAAGAGAGAGAGAGAAAAAAAAAAAAAAAAAAAAAAAGGAAAGAAAAAATTGCTTGGAAAAAAAAAAGGGAGAAAAAAAAGGGAAAGAAAGAAAGAAAAGAGGAAAGAAAAAAAAAAAAAAGGAAAGAAAGGGAAAAAACTGCATGGAAAAAAAAAAGAGAGAGAGAGAAAAAAAAAAAAGAAGAGAGAGAGAAAAAAAAAAAAAAGAAAAAAAAAAAAAAGAAAAAATCATACCGATTATTTGTTCAAGCAGCCGCAATCTAACACAATCTTCAAAGGTTGTAATCTGACAAGTGTTCAGAGAATATTGGAATTGATGTCAAATCCTATAATATTGGGGGTATATATAGGCAACAAAATACCTCCTATTTGTATTAGGATTTATATAATTCAGTTCAAATACGAAAGTAAAATGCAATCCAAAGTTGGATAGAAAAGAAAAAGAAGAAATCTTACAATCCAAAGTTGGAGATGGAAAAAAAGAAAGAAAAAAAAAAAAGGAAAGTTGGATACTTCAAGTCCTATTTGAAAAAGGAGACAAGTTCTGTTAAACTTGGGACTCAAAGTAGGGGCAATTTGTAGACACTAAAATTTTAGTGTGCTTTGTTTTTGACAAATA